TACTAGGGGTGAGGGTTGCCGGGGGTTACTGGGATTACTAGGGGTGAAGAGTGTTAGGAGGTTACTAGGTTGAGGGATACTAGGGGGTGAAGGGTGCCAGGGAGAGATGATGGGTGGAGGTACCAGGGGATGAGGGTGCCGAGGGATTCTGAGGGGCAGGGCAGGCAGGATCGAGAGTCAGCATGTGGGGAAGATGCTGGGCCTGCCTGATGGTGAATGTGGCCAGCGGGTTGGGTTGCTAGGAGGTGAAGGTGCCAGGCAGTGCTAGGCTGTGGCTGGTTATCAGAAGACGAGGGTGCCAGAGCATGGGCCATAGTAAGGATAGAAACATGTTGGAGGAGGCAAGAATGCCAAGGTGCAACAGGGGGTCAGTCAGATACCAAATGGCGAGAATGCCAGTGGACAAAGTGTGAGCACAGGCCAGGGTCTGTGTGCCAGGCAATACCAGGTCTGTGCCTCGTGGCAAGGGAGCCGGGTTCTGTGCGCCAGGCAATGCCAAGTCTGTGCCTCGTGGCAGGGGAGGCGGGTTCTGTGCGACAGGCAATGCCAGGTCTGTGCCTCGTGGCAGGGGTGCCGGGTTCTGTGCGCCAGGCAATGCCAGGTCTGTGCCTCGTGGCAGGGGTGCCGGGTTCTGTGCGCCAGGCAATGCCAGGTCTGTGCCTTGTGGCAAGGGGGCTGGGTTCTGGGCGCCAGGCAATGCCAGGTCTGTGCCTCGTGGCAGGGGTGCCGGGTTCTGTGCACCAGGCAATGCCAGGTATGTGCCTCGTGGCAAGAGAGCCAGGTTCTGTGCGCCAGGCAATGCCAGGTCTGTGCCTCATGGCAGGGGAGGCGGGTTCTGTGCACCAGGCAATGCCAGGTCTGTGCCTCGTGGCAGGGGAGGCGGGTTCTGTGCACCAGGCAATGCCAGGATCTGTGCCTCATGTCAAGGGAGCCGGGTTCTGTGTGCCAGGCAATGCCAGGTCTGTGCCTCGTGGCAAGGGAGGCGGGTTCTGGGCACCAGGCAATGCCAGGTCTGTGCCTCGTGGCAGGGGTGACAGGGTCTGTGCGCCAGGCAATGCCAGGGTCTGTGCCTCATGGCAGAGGTGACAGGTTCTGTGCGCCAGGCAATGCCAGGTCTGTGCCTCGTGGCAGGGGTGCCGGGTTCTGTGCACCAGGCAATGCCAGGTCTGTGCCTCATGGCAAGGGGGGTGGGTTCTGTGTGCCAGGCAATGCCAGGTCTGTGCCTCGTGGCAGGGGAGGCGGGTTCTGTGCGCCAGGCAATGCCAGGTCTGTGCCTCGTGGCAGTGGAGGCGGGTTCTGTGCACCAGGCAATGCCAGGTCTGTGCCTCGTGGCAAGGGGGCCTGGTTGTTATGGTGAAGATGTCCAGGGAGGGTGTTTGAATTGTCCTCCTGGCCCTCTGAGGAAATGCCGATGCCCAGACGAAGGTGGTCTTAGTGGGCACGGTGTGTCCCTTATTTTGCAGACCAGTTCCTTGCGGGGCCACGTCCCCTCTAGCCCACCCGCTGCTCCCCCCCTCAGACCCCGGGACTGGGTCATACCCACCCTTGGGGTGCCGTGGATGGACTTAGGGGGTGGGTTGGCAGGACGGGTCTGGGCATCTGGGGGGATGTGTCCCGATGGGGACAGTCAGTGGGATGGAGGAGTATGCAGCTTGCACTGAAATGCTGGGGGGATAAAGGAGCTTTCAGAGGCTGCACTGGGGTTACAATCATGCCCAGGCATTAGCCAGACCTAGCTTGTGGGTGTGTTGTTTGGGGCCGGGGCGGAGAAGCCTTGTGTCTCAGCACGTGTTGGCCTGGCGCGGAGCACTATACTGACGGCTCGCGGGCTGCCCCCAGAGCATGCAGTGTCCAGCAGCCCCTTTCTCCACCGCCGAAATGCAGCTGCCTCTGGGGAGGAGCGCAGCCGCCGCTTAGCAGTGCGTGAGGGTGGATGTGCGAGCACGTCATTCAAATGGCACTGCAGCGGGATGTCTAAGGGATCGGGTAATTCCCCGAGTTGGAAGTGGGGTGCCGGGGATAACGCTGTGACTCTTGTGAGAAGACTTGGGAGGCTCTTTAATGGCCAGCGGCATGTAGTGGCTTCGGAAGTGTCTCGTCCCAGTAGCAGAGGAGCCTAGGCAGACTCCTGGGTGGCATGGGGCCTCAATCCCCAGCTGGCTGCAGGCACCTGGCAAGACCTCCTGCGATCCCGGCCAGAGGTACTCCGAGATGCATAAGACGGTATCTGTAACTCCAGAGGGGAAGCGCTGCTTGCCTTTGAGAGCCGGGTTGTGACTGTAGGCAAGGCAGATGCCCGGCCTGGCGCTGAACTCGCTGGGCCAAGCTGATGGGGGTGCCCCTCAATTGGACTGGCAGGATGGGAAATGAGAGAAAAGCAGGAGGTTGGAACCGTGGGGTAGACGGGTCGCTCCCTCCATCCCCACCTGTTGGCCCCACTGCTTGGCAGACACAGACCTGCCTGCGCCGGAGGGAGGCGGGATATTTATGCTGGGATTTGGGAACCGTTAATTAATCCTTCCCCTTCGAGACCAGGCGGCCACGGTACTTACCGTGCAGAGTTTGTTCTTCCGGTCCCGGTGCTGCCGGATGCCCTGGGGAAGGGGAACTGCTGGTTTGAACAGGCCTGGGCCGCGGAGTCACGGAAGGCGCAAACTCTTTCTAGGAACCGCCGCGGCGTGGCTAGAGCAAGGCACGTGGGTCCATGCCCCTCAGCTGGAGCTGGGCAGATTAAAGGGGCAAAGAGGAAAGGAGTGGGGCTGGGGATCTGGGGTGGGCGGACCCCAGTGGGAACCCCCTCCCTCTCCCTGGGGGAGTCCTTGGAGCATTTTAACCCCTGCAGCTCCGAAGAGGGAATGGGTATGAGGCCGGTGGGATTTTTGTGGCCTTGAAGATCTCAGCTGGAGTGATTTAGGGTTTGCACTAGGGCTGGGGGGTACCGAGAGAAGGGACCCCGTGATATTGACTGGGCTCATTTGGCGCTAATGCACCAGTAATTCCCTCCTCGCCGATAAGCGGGGGAGGGTAAACGCCCCAGGTAAATGTGTGTGTGTTGAGGGGGGGGAGGGCTTGCGTCTCTGCCTGTGCTGCATACACCGGAACGTGCCGGTGGGGACACGGGTGCGTTTTAGTGCACATTCATGTGTGGCCCCATGTGCCTATGCAAACACGTGGGCGTATGCGTGTTGGTGTACGTGTGTGGCTGGACACGTGTGCCCCCGTGCCTGTAGACGTGTGTGAGCCCACGCCTCTAGGTGTGTACGTGCATACATATTACATGGATGTGCGTGCACACACGTGTTTGTGCATGCTTCAGTGCTTGTGCCTCTTTAGACTCCAGCGGGGGGCTCCCGCCTGGATATTCCCTATGTCCCTGCAGCCTACCAGGGCTGGGGGGCTGGGGACGTGTGGGAGAGACAGGGAGTGTTGTCCCCCCACCCTCCGCAAACACCACCAGGGATTGGACCCTGGGCAGATCCAGCACGTCTCCGTCTCCATCCCAGCCAAAGCAATTCGTTAGGTGCTGCCAGGCCTGGTGCGTCGGTACCAGCTCGCCTGGGCTCGGGGAGGGAGACGGCCCAGTCCCCACCAAGGAGGCTGGGCTTTCTGGCCTCCCGAGGGCCTGGTGTCTGAGAGAGGAGCTGTCCAGGCCAGGGCCAAACACATGGGCCAGCTGGGGCAGCAGGAGGGATGGCAGCTTGGCGGGGACGCCCGGAAGCCAGCCAGGACAGCACTGGGTGAGGGGTTGGGATCGTGGGAAGCCCCCGCAGCATATGCAGCCTGTTATATGGGCCCATGGTGGCCGTGCTCCACCAATATTCAGGAACGTGGGCCCGGCTCCACCAGTATTTGGGCTTAGATTTTCAGAGCCGTCCCGTCTTGGGCTTCAGGGGGACGTGGGGTCCTGGGCGGCCTGGGGGGTTAGCAGAGGGCCTGGTGCCATCAGCAATGAGTGACCTGGCTCCAGCCTGCCCTGCCCCACCTCTTCCCGCCCCCTCCCCACCCCATTCCACCCCTTCCTCCAAGCCCCTCCCCGCCCTATTCCACCCCTTTCCCCAAGCCCCCGCCCACCTCTTCCCACCCCGCCCCACCTCTTCCCGCCCCTGCTCTGCCCCCTCCCTGCCCCCACTCCACCCCTGCCCCCAAGCCCCTGCCCGCCTCTTCCCACCTCGCCCCACCTCTTCCCACCCCTGCTCGCTGCTGCCGGCGCCAGGCCCCCCGCTAGCCCCGAGGCTGCCCTGGCCCTGTATGGACGGGACGGCCCTTCTTGGACCCATTCTGGGCACCACCAAAAATTCTACAGACCTGGCGCCCACAGGTTCCTTCTGGCCCCTCCCTCCGGGACCCTGCCCCATCTGGCATCCCACGGCTCCAGCATGGGAGCTCTCGCCCCAGCCCTAGCGGTGGCTCCCCGGGCGGCTCCGTCA